GGGGGTTGCTCATAAAAAATTAGAAATCTACTTGTTTACTAAAAATTAATTCCTTACCAGCTACAACACTGTACAAAGTGAAACTGTCACAACCTGAACCTCCTACACTCTGTAATGTTGTTCAGCCATGGCCATTATTGTACCTTGTATTCCTATATTATATTGTATCTTCCAAACCCCAAGATTTAGATGATTTCATGTGGTATAAACTGCTATATATGTTAGAAATTTTAAAATGTATGTTTTAGGCAATCTGGTAGTCTCTAAAAGGACTTCAGAAGAAAAAAAAAAGATACGTGTGCTGCTAAAACCAACATCCTAAAAAAGCCCACACACAGCATATAAAAAATTACAGTGAAGTTTTATATAACCCATGCTTCTCATTATGTAGAATTCCTTGAAATTAAAGTAGTTATTCTGTTATGGTTGGCAATTAAAATGAACATACAAATGCTTAGAAGTTAGTGGAAGCTCTTTAGATACAGCAGTTAATGATTTCTGCAATATATTTACCTGTCATAAAATCTTTATAACACATGGATGAATTAAAGACACATTTTTATCAGAACTAAAAATAGGCAAAGCAAACTGACATCTTGATCTCCTCCAGCTGCAAGTTTAACTTCGAAAAATACAATAGTCCAATGTTTAATATTTTACAAAACAACAAACCCAACAATATTCTCCTGTTCTTATCAATTTATGTTTTACACTCAGAGTAACTGGTTATAAACTATATTCATAGTGGGGGAAAAACCTGTTGAATTTTCCACTGAGGCAGCCAACTCATTTTAGATTCAAACTTTTTTCATTTTAGTGGAGTGAATGAATTTCCTACTGGGTACCAAGACAAGAATAAGTTACAAAGGTGTACTTAAGAAAAGTGTTCTTTGAACAACTCCTATTCTTGCCTTTGAAACAGATCTAATTTTATTTTTCCTACTTACTGGGATTCAAGTTTCAAATATACTGTACTCAGTATTATATTATTTACTTAGAAATCTCAGTGAGAAAGTTTTATTTGCTTATTTTGGCCACTAACAGTGGAATTCAGTTCACAGCAGCCACTTAGGTAAGTAGTTTCAATTAATTTTCTAGGTTTTCTTTCTTAAGATGTTGTAGAGAAAAAGTGTGTTTTATTTGATTTCATCCTAAAATGTGTGCTTAAGACACATCCGAAGAGTACCTGTGACCATAGTGAAAGATGACACAAGCTTAGATGCCTAACTTTGATATGGCTTCAATTAGGTGACATGAATCTCAGTTTGTGTGATCCTTTGAGACAGGGTGTCTCTACGACTAAGCATGGGAGACAAATATACATGCAAAAAAATATTTTTTTTCCTTGAAAACCACTCCCAGTCCTCCCATTGGATGAGTACGGCAATACACCACTACCTGACTGAGTTCTCACATGAACAACCTCTTCCAACTTTCATGTCTTCACTACTGGTTTGCTCTGTAATAAAGTTGACTTGGAAAGGGCTGACTTTTAGGAAAAAAGTATTTCCAGTGCTTTGCCCACCATTTGGCAAAGAGCTGCAGAAAGAGAAGAGTAATGGCATAAAATGTCTCTTCTTTCTATAACGCTACAAAAATCCCTGTTAAAAAGTTGTTTCTTTTTAAAAACAAAACAAACCTTTGACACACTTTTGCAAAAACCTAGGTTAAATTACATAAAAGGTAAAGTCTAAGGGGCAGTAGAGTTTAGGGGGATCAGAGGCCAGAATGCATAGTAACAAGGGCTCTGGGGTAGGTC